TTTTTTTTTTGCTCTCATCAAATTGCAGGGATTTATTCGCACTGAACCATTTGATCCGAAAACATGGCTCATTCCTGGAGATTATTCCCCAGGCAAGCACTTTGATGTGGACTGGGTATCGCCTTCAAGGAAGATCTACAGCATGGAACGTAGAAAGATGAAGGGTAAGAGAGTGGCTGATGCAGTTGAAGCCCTTATAGGTGCATATGTTAGTACTGCTGGAGAATCAGCTGCTTTATCATTCATGGCATGGCTTGGTTTGGACATCCATTTTGATGTGAGTGTTCCCATAACAAGGTGCTTCCCCATCAGTGCGGACAAGTTTGTGAATGTAGAGTATGTAGAAAATTTGCTCAAGTATAAATTCAGTGATCCTTCACTGCTTGTTGAAGCTCTCACTCATGGTTCCTTCATGCAATCTGATATTCCACGATGCTATCAGGTAATCCTCATCTGTCCCTAAATAAACTATACACTTTGATTTTGGTTCGTCCCAAAAATGAAGTCCCATTTACCTTTTTGGTAAGGAATATGTGGCTATCATCATTTTTCTCTCCCTCGAAGCAATTATGACCACTCACATTAGTTTTCAACACTTATCTGTACTTCGTGTCTGGTCAAATTGGACTTTTAATTTGGGAGAGAGGGAGTAATATCTATTGTTCATGTTGTCACTTTGAATTACTAATCAAGTATGCTGATCTCATGAACTACAATCTTGTGCTCCTTCACTGCATGCTCACCAAAGTTAATCAAATGGATGCTATCAACTTAATGAAGATGTAAAGATTTTCATGATTACATAATAATCAAAACGTCTCAAAGAAATGATGGGAGAATGTTGTTATATTAATAATAATATATAATAATAATAAATAATAATAATAATAATAATAATAATAATAATAATAATAATAATTAATTAACTCTCTTGGACTTCTTAATGATGGTGGGAAAACCCCTTATCCATTAGTGGTAAAGCCTTAGCTTTTCAATATAAGTTCAAACATTGTCCATTCCTATAGGTTACCAGAATTGCCGAATTGGGTTTGAAAAGTAAATATTGCATTATAAGTTATTAAATGCATCCTTCATAGACTATTTTTGAAATATGTTAATAATTGATTACTATCTTTCTCAATATGTACTCACTTGAAAGACATAGAATGCTATATACATATCCTTTAAAGGGATCTGTAAACCAAACCAAACCAACAAGCCCATATATCCCACTCAAGAGTAGGGTCTTTTGGGGGGAGGATTCGATGAGATCTATACTTGCATGCATTATTTCCTTTAAATGAGAATTGGCGTTGCATCTATACTTACTTCACACGTGTTTTGCTGAACTTAAAGTTGCTATTGTGTTATGCAGAGGCTAGAGTTTATTGGAGATGCCGTGCTAGACTATATTATCACAGTCCATCTATATTTCAAGCATCCCGGACTAACGCCTGGTATATTAACCGACCTGAGGTCTTGTTCGGTTAACAATGACTGTTATGCCCTATGCGCAGTGAAGGCTGAATTACACAAGCAAGTCCTCTATTTTTCCACTGACCTTCAGAGGCATATAACAGACGCCGTGGAAAGGGTTGAGAAGTTGTGTATCTCCTCAACCTTTGGATGGGAATCAGAGATAAGCTTCCCTAAGGTACGTTGGATCACCACAGTTCTTTTGACACCCGAATTTGGTGTCATATTATGACACTGAGCTGCAACTTTTTCGGGTGTTAATAACAGGTGCTTGGAGATGTTATTGAGTCTCTTGCAGGGGCAATCCTCGTCGATTCCGGTTTCAACAAGGACAAAGTTTATGAAAGCATAATTCCTCTTTTGGAGCCAATGGTGACAACAGAAACTCTGACTCTCCACCCAGTGCGCGAGCTATATGAACTGTGCCTAAGCAGGAACTATAAAATGAAGAAGCCTCGCGTTACTCTTGAGAATGGAATTGCAACCATTACAATGGAGGTGGAGGATGCCAATGGCGTAACCCACAGCGACTCGTGCACTGCCCCTAACAAAGTTGCAGCCAAGAAACTGTCTTGCAAGAATCTCTTAAAGAAGTTGAAATGCCATAGTTTAGCGCGAACAGATTAGGGTACATAAAGCACAATCCTAATGATAATATGTTCTTTCAAGTTGTCAATGGCCCAACATCAGTTTTATCTCTTCAAAGTTCCATAGTTTTTAAGTTCTTATAGAATAGCCAAAGAGTAGTAGTTACAGTTTGTTAATTTTAAGTCCCAAAATTCTAGGTAAATCGTACGGAGTATATATGGTTTATACGAAAAGTAAACCTCATTTTGTTAAAAGTATAAACTATAAACAGCAAAAACAATAAACTCCCTCCCTCTTGAAAAAAAGAAGAAATTTCTAAACCATTTTGTTTTAAAAAGAGTCCCATCTATAATCTCTATATCCATCTATAACAGGGGAAACCTTACTTTGTACCCTCAAAAAGCTGCAAAAAAATTAAAATGCACTCTCATTTCTTTCAAATTTCATAGTCTGCCTATACTGTGAACGGCAAATAGAATAGAAGAATGAAGAATATATAGATATCCTTTAGCCCACCTTTAAAGTTATATTTTCTTATGCATAACCTTTAGAAGATCACCCTGTATTACGTAGTATTATCATTATTTACTTTTCATGCTCTATTGTTATCATAATGCATACCACTACTATGGCCGGGAATTCTTTTCATTTTTTCTATATATACTGCTTGACTTTCGTTATTTAATAAGATCAATTATTATTATTAAATTGTATCATAGGATTAGAAATGGATATTCGTGACTACTAGCATCAGATTGCGCTTCAATAAATCCTAATTGAGTTTTAATTAAAACATGTTGGTTCTGATTGTCATTTTGTATGAGACGAGGTCACGACTAACACTATACCTACTCATCATGTTCCGTCTTCAAGAAAACTAGCTGATATTCTCACAAGATCACTTTTGCTTGATCTGGTTCAATACTTGTACTCTAAGCTGTTCAACGTTACTCTTGATCAGCTTGCAAGGGAATAGTAGGAGAAATAGAATACTATTAGCACAACTCTAAGCTGTTCAATATTACTTTCTTCATTCTACTGTTATCATAATTTATATTACTACTATGGTTAGGAATTCTCTTTGTATTTTCTATATATACTGCTTGAACTTTTATTATTCAATAAGACCTAGTATTATCAAATTGTATCATAAAGTAATTTAAGTTCAGCAATGATGGAAATCACAATTTTGGGATGTCGACCAGACAAACTCGCTATAAGGTTGATACTGCACCAAACAGCAAAATCTATTAAATAAATAATAAATAAAACGGAGAGAAATTATTTTTATGTGGAAACCCAAATTGGTTAAAACCACTACTTTTGAGCCTTTCTTAGGGAACGAGACACATTCAAAAGTTATGTGACTTTGTCGGTTGTCTCGTGAAAGAGAGTTTTTCTCATTACCTCGGAAGAGAACTTCTTACTTGGTGAGACCTGGTATCTCTTGGAAGATGACTTTTGTAGAGTGCCTCAAAAGAAGATTTATCTTTTGGAACTTAGTGCTTTGTATGCGAGGATTTCTTTGGAGGGAGTCATGCCTTGTAAAAGAGGACTTTTTTCGGGACTATAAAATAACTAGCTAGTGACACAAAAATCACTAACATTTAACACAAATTCACCCCCACTTAGTAGAAATCACTATAGATGGGTGATCGGATTGGAGACATTGTGTCTTACAGCTAGGCATGTAGAAATAATAACGATTTATGTAAAATTATCGCTCACAACTTGCATGGGTAGCTTAGATGGTTAGGAAAGAGAAGTATTAAATCTAAGGTCTCAAAATCAATTTTCTGCGATGATGGTACAATATGTTTATCCTATGTGATAACTTTTTGTATGCATCGAACTCTAAGGATCAAATTAAAGTTATACTCTAAGCTATACACTTTGTCGAGCCAGGTGTGAGAGCTGGGCAAGCCTTTTTTGTTTTTAATCTATTTTCGTGAGATTTAATTAGATTGTTGTTTCTGATGTTGTTTTTGTATAAAATTGTATAGTGTCCTACTAGCTTTTTCGTATTTGTATGCCCTATTCCATTTGGGTTGGAAAAATGAACTTCCAACTTGCGACTCCTAGTTTTTTCCAATTTATTTCACTTTTTCCAAGTACTTCTAGTTTCTTTTAATAATGACTTAAAAAAAGTATTTATAATTTTATATATGATTAATATAAAGTAATACTCCGTATAATATATCCAAATTTATAACTATCATTCCAAACACAGACAATGATGCATTTTTTTAATTCAAAATTAGAGTTTTTGTTACATATGTATTTGGATGATCATTTAATTCACTGACTTATTAACAATAAAATACTTCAAATAGTTTTTCAAAAAAAAAATACTTCAAATAGTTTACAGTCTTTCTAATTTTTTTCCAATTCCTTTTAATTTAACTCCCCCAATTTCTTCAAGGCTCTAAAATTCGAATCGAAAAGAACTTAAGAGCATGTGCAATGACAAGGAAGAGGGATGCCATGCAGTGGCACATCACCTTCTTCCACTTATATCATGACATGGCTAGGCTAAAATGCCTTGCTTTGTGAGACATGAGTGTGGCACTCCATCCTTCTTTTTTTCTTTTTTTAAATAAATTTTTTTAAATTTTTTTATGAAAAAAAATGTACAAGAAAGTAGAATATTTTTTTAATAAAATAAATAATAAAAATATTTTTTTATGTTTAAAAAACATAAAAAAAATGTAAAAAAGTGATAAAAAAATAATGATTTGCCATTGTAGAACTTGCCACTTCATTCACTTGTCACACGCTATCTGGACTATTTTTGATTGATTAAAATGTTCCATGTCATCGCATGTCATTCCATTTTTGCATTGCCATTGTTCGTGCTCTAAATGTGTCAAAATTGCATTCAAAATTGGTGTACTGGAACCTTTAATTCTACTCCTTAATTTTCAATCTGGCACTCCGTATATGTCTGTTGGTCCGAAACTGATCTTTGGGTCATAGACTCATCCGGCAAACGGCGAGACAGAAAATAATGGAGGTGAAGGCAAGAGCGCCGGCGAAAATCATTCTGGCCGGGGAACATGCGGTGGTGCACGGATCCACAGCGGTGGCCGCCGCAATCAATCTTTATACCTATGTCTCCCTTAGCTTCTCTGTTCCCTCTGGTAAGTGACAACTACCATTCACATAGATGCATGTGTGGCTACGGATTTTCTTGTGTCTGCGATTGAGTTCAATTCTCAGATACTGATACTATATAATGACTGATTTCTGATTCCTCTGAATCAATTTATTTTCAGCTCTTCATTGTTGCCTGTCCATATGGTTTCGCCCTAAATCAAAGCCTTCCATTCTGTTTGGTCCAAGGAATTTGAAAGGGAAAAGAAAAGAAAACGATATGGAATACATTTTTTCTTTGTTTGGTTAGAAAGGAAATGAAAAGAAAAAAAAGAAAATGAGAGGACAAAATAAGCTACAAGAAGAGGGAAAGGAAAAGCAATTTCCTTCCATTTTCGTGAGGAGAAAGTGGGAAGTGTTTTTCTTTTCCTTTCCTATCTAATTATTCAAACCAAACATATCTTTATTAATTGCATTTTGGGCGTTTAAATTCCTAGGTAAGCATGACTTTAGGAAGTTCTGGATTTGATTTTCATGGCCTAAATTCCGCCGTTGGTCCTTCAAGTTATTACATCATGCATGGTTAGTCCTTCAACTTTGAAAATTCCATCAATAGCCCTTAAAGTCATGTTAACGGTTCATGGTTTGTCCATCAACTTTGAAAATTCCACGAATAGTCCTTCAAGTCACGTTAGCGTTGCATGGTTGGTCCTTCTACTAATTTTTCCATTAGTCCATGTATTTCTTATATATTTTCCATTTTAAATACATGTGAGGAACCTTTTCTTCTTCATATAATTTAACCATATTTAGTATAGGTCTATTTTTAATAGTGATAGTTACTCTTACTTTAATTACTCAAATTTTTAAATAATATAAGTTACTTTTGCTTTTTTTTTTAGTTTAACTTTTATTAATAAAAATATCACTCCGTCTTAAAAATCAACAAGGTTGAAATTTTTTACCCATATTTCAATAAAAATAAATCTACAAAAAATATGAATCAATTGTATGAAAAAGAGAAAGTTCCTGATGTGTATTTAAAATAAAAAATGAAAAAAATGCATGGAGTAACAACAAAATTAAGAGAAGGACCAACCACGCAACACTAACGTGACTTGAAGGACTATCTGTGAATTTTTTTTATAGTTGATAGACTAATCATGCAACGCTAACATAACTTGAAAGACTATTCGTGGAATTTTCAAAGTTGAAAGACTAAGCGTGCATAACGCAATAACTTGAAGGACCAATGCTGGAATTTAGTAATTTTCATGGGTAGGCAGTGAAAAGAGAACATTCTTTTTTCTAACTTTTTCCCTTTCAAGAATTATCTTTTACTCCGTAATAAATAAAAATGTGGCATATTTGCCATGACATGCAAAATAAAGTGAGGTCTTTTTATTTATTCTCTTGTTTTATGTGATTTTGTTGACCTAGTTTAATTATATCCATAAAAATCACTATAATGTAATCTAATAATATGAGAGTATTTTAGGAGAACCACCAGCACATATGAACTATGTTAGAGGATTGGAAAATCACCAACAAACTATCGTTTGAAGAAAACTCTTTACATAATCAAGTTTTATAATAAAATCCCATCGTGATGGTGTTTTTGCCATTAGGGGCTTAGGTTTACTTTACAAAAACATATAAATGTTAATCGCTCAAAATGCTTCTGCTGTAGTGACTTATCAACACCAAAGAAGGTCTACTACTATATTTAGATTGATTGATGAAGAATCACATGCAAAAGTAGACATTTTCCACATGATGAAGAAGATGTGGAAAAAACTTTGGACAACTGTCACCAACTCCTCATCACGGTGACAATGGGAGCAATGACGCTATATTCGATGCTAGGTTTCTTGATGATTTTTGTCACATATTTTGTTTCCCATGGATATTAAACTTTGCTGATTTTGAACTTCAAAAATTATTAATTACGGAGCACAATATATGATGTGCTATATTTATATTACTGTTACTTATGTACTACAATTTTCAATCATTACATCTGGCCTAAATTTCACCATTTTTGGCTTTGGGGTGTGATGGAATAAATCAAAATGGATCTCTAAACTATCTGCGCTTCTTTAATTAATGAATGCACTTCTTTAATTAATGAAGTAGCAGTTAGTCAAACACTGCAACTTTCGATGTTGAGCCGGGGGTCTCTTTGGAAACAGCCTCTCTACTTTCGAGTAGGGGCAAGGTCTGCGTACACACACCCTCCCCAGACCCTACTCTTGTGGGATTTAACTGGGTTGTTGTTGTTGTTGTTGTTGTTGTACATCTGGCCTAATTGTTGCCTTGGCGGTCGAGTAGGCGTCCTGTTCACTGGCGCCGCGACTCACCTTGGCACCGTGACGACTATGCTTGGTAGTTGATACAAATAGAACTTTACAAGGGAAAAGAATTTCTATATTCTATTTGTTGTCGTTGGAACATTAAAAGGACTCATAAATTGCAATGCTCTGAATTCTATTGTGGAGTATTATGCATGGTTGCAGCTAGAATTTCTGGCATCTTAGTTCATATATATGATGTGTAACATGAAACTTTGAATCTTATTCTTTGACTTGTTGCATTGACTGCTACCAGATACTGATGAATCATTGAAGCTCCAACTAAAGGATGTGTCCTTGGAACTTTCTTGGTCGACTGCAAGAATAAGAGATGCTTTTCCAAACCATGATAATGGTGTTGGTTCATCTCCTTCATCGTGTTCATTAGAGACACTAAAATCAATTGCTTCATTGGTGGAAGAACAGAAAATCCCCGAGGAGAACCGTGGGCTTGTATCTGGTGTCTCTGCTTTCCTCTGGTTGTATACCTCCATTCATGGGTATGTGTAAAATTGCTTGCTCACTGAAACCTTGACCTTTCGCAATGTTTAACTTTAGTAATTTGTGACATCTGAATTATCATTTCCTCTTTATTTGACAATATCAGATGCAAACCAGCAAAAGTAGTCGTGCATTCTGAACTCCCGTTGGGTGCAGGTCTTGGATCTTCTGCTTCCTTTTGTGTTGCTCTTTCTGCTGCCATGCTTGCTCTGTCAGACTCAATTAGTACAGATTTCAGCCACCAAGCCTGGCAGATATTTAGAGATAGTGAACTGGAATTGGTTAACAAATGGGCATTTGAAGGCGAGAAGATAATCCATGGGAAGCCATCTGGGGTCGATAACACAGTAAGCACATACGGTAAGTGACTGAACTGCCACGCGAAGAATTTAGTTATTCTTATCATAGTACCAACAACAGCAAAAACAACAAAGTCAGTAAAATCCCACAAGTCTGGGGAGCGGAGTGTGTATGCGCTATGCACACCTTATCATAATGCCCTATGTGATTAATGGTTTTATTTATGACAGGGAACTTGATCACATTTAAGTCTGGTGATTTGGCGTGTCTCAAGACTAACATGCCACTTAAAATGCTAGTAACTAATACAAGAGTTGGCAGAAACACAAAAACCTTAGTGGCTGGTGTCTCAGAGAGGACGATGAGGCATCCGAGTACCATGGCTGCTGTTTTTAATGCAGTGGATTGCATCAGCAATGAAATAGCTTCAATTGTCCAGTCACCAGTTGCTGATGATCTTGCAATAACCGAGAAGGAAGAAAAACTGGGAGAGTTGATGGAGATGAACCAAGGTTTGCTACAATGCATGGGTGTCAGTCATTCTTCGATAGAAACTGTGCTTCGAACAACAGAAAAGTACAAATTGCATTCCAAATTAACAGGAGCTGGTGGAGGAGGCTGCGTTTTGACACTGCTACCAACCTGTATCCTTTTCTGTTATCTGCCATTCACTTTCCTTTTCACTCATAAATTCATCATCGCTTATTTACAATTCCAACCATGCATTACCACTTTTAATCAATGATAGTCTTGAAATGTGACTTGATTTATCTTGTTTTGCTTCTCGTTGTTTCCATCGATGCATATTTTTACCCTGTAGATCAATCAGCAAATCTTGAAGAAACAGTAATGCCTAATGAATGTATAGGTTCTTACATGATGATAAATGCACAGTCCCAATTTAATGCATGAATGAAAAAGGAATCTAGGAAGAAGGAAAACATTTTGTTGCGTGTCCATTGAATTAATTCTACATCTTCACTAGATCACTAAACTTTCAGCTTATTGAATTGATGAATCATATGTTCTTATTAGATTTTTTATCATTGAATTTTTATATTATATCCATCACTAATCTCATGATACACGTATATGAAGTACCAATTATTTTTTTAAAAATTTTAAAATTATATTGTTTCCCATTCCTTTTGTGGGATCCTACTAGGTTCTTGTTGTATATTTTTTCCCATTCCTTGACCATTATACAGTGCTATCAGGAACAATTGTCGATAAGGTGATAGCGGAGTTAGAGACATGTGGGTTCCAATGTCTAATTGCTGGAATTGGCGGGAACGGGGTTGAGGTTTCTGTCATTGGATCATCTCTATGATAACATATGCAGAAGAATCTGCAGTTTATATTCCATTTCAGGGTCTGGTACTCTTTGATCTTTAATAATTTCGTTGCATCTTTTCCATGAATATCATCAGCTTAAAGCATACAAACCTTCATATAGAATCAAGAAAGTCAACATGAAAGAAAACATGCAACTTCAATGGTATTGTTTTTCCTTTTTAAAAAAGTTTTCGTGTTTGCCGACTCCTAATCAGTGTATTAGTGAGCTGAACAATGAAAGTTTGTTGCTTTAAATGATTTGAGTACTAATTATGTTCATGGGAATGGGATCGGAGTAACACGAACAATGCGATCAAGGTGTTGAGAAAATTGATGAAGAATTTTGAGATCTACATAACTACCTTCTAGTGAGGCGGTTACGAATCTCACTCGAATATTACCCTCCTAGGCACACCGGGCGAACTGTGCTAACGCCCCTTGATTTATTTATAATTAAGGATTCATCCTAGGATCGTGCAGAATTTATTTTGGCCATTTGTGGGAGCATGTGGCACAAAATCTGAGTGGAGGGTCCCACTTGATCTACGTAGTCGGTGGTCATTTTGACTCTGTTGGTTCTGAAATCTGGATCCTTACGCTAGTGTTATGTTATCACCTCTTATAATATACTCCGTAATTCTTTGCATATTGGGGTAGCTTCTTACATTGTGATTATCATTTTCCTAATGTGAATCTCAGTGGTGGAGCCATTGCAGTGCGAGTGGCTCCACCACCGAATTGATACAGCACAAGGAAGAGTCACACCCTAAACGCTAGCTGCTAAGGTGTGAGAATCCTTGGCGATATAAACTCATTTCCAAGTCTTCCATTAAACCAGTGGGACAATCAAATCAGTCCGTATCACGAATGTGATTTCTTACATTACCTGCGTATGAAAAGATAAAAATAAGAAATTGGTGGGCTCGTGATGGGTACATTGGAAGCTTATAGTTCTACGGATCACATATTCACATTTAAATCCATTTTTAGGTTGTTGTGGTGATTGATTTTTTGAACGTCAATAATATTATGCAACTAGTAATCTGGACAAAAAATGGAAATGGAGTAACAGACATAATATCAAAATTATATATACAATATTGATGTAAAAATATTTACAATGACATTATTTGTCAAATAATGACTTACGTATAAAAAATTATAAGTGAAATAGACATTGATGAATTAGAAAATGTAAATGAAATTTAAAAAAATTAAATAAAATAAAAAGATATCAACAAACTGTTGTGGCCATGGCCACAAAAGTGCTTCATGCCATCATATCTCAACGGGCACCTTTTGACGATTTTGTAAGTGTGTGAGATTTTCGTTTTTTTTTTCTTTTTTTAATAAGGAATTTCTTTTTCTTTATGAAATGGAGAGTTTGACTTAGACCTGATAAAAATCGATTTGATTTGTTTTTTAATCAACTCATCACTAGACCAAAAAATAACAAGTTTTAAATAAGGTTTACATCATTTGTATACCATGTTGTGCATTGTCACGTACTGGCACAAAATACTTGTGTCGTACGTACATTTTGTGTATGCGTGTACCAGTGAATAACATGATGTATAAATAGTGTACGCCACATTCGTGTGCAAGTAGCATTTTTATATGAATAAAGATTTTGTGAATTGAATCGAAAGAGGATCGAACTTGAATAATCTACTAAAAGTAGATAAGAACCAGTAGAATTTGACCTAATCGATCCAGTTAGACAAGTCTTTAAAATTTTCGATATAAAAATCTTGTCATAATGTTATTTCTTCTTATTATTATTTTAAGTGTGTAAACATATCTTTTATATCAAGATTTTAATTTTATAGAATTGATATCTTCCTTTAAAAACAATTGGGCGTGTTTAAACTGTTTATTTTATTTTAAATATTGTGGTGTGTATCTAAAAGTTAATTTAGAATGAAAAATAAAAAACTGCCTACCTCACATATAGTGTATTCATTGTGGTATATTTCAATTTACTATTTCCTACATTTAAAAAAAGAATTAGGGTCTGTTTGGTACACGGAATTGATGGAATTGGAATTGAATTGAAATTGAAATTCCATGGGATTCAATTTGATAGAATTGAATTCTGTCAATTCCAATTCATTTTTTGCACTATCAGTTCCAAATCCACATAATTTTTGTGCTACCAAACACCAGAATTGGAATTGAAGTCCACAATTCCAATTCCATAGTTTGAATTCCGTGTACCAAATGGGACCTTACACTCTTCACTATTCAAAAGTCACAAAACTTTTGTTTATTTGTACGTTTTGATTGATTATTTGATAAAATAAGATATTTTTATCACTTCTTATTTTGTACTTCAAGTAGAATTTTTCTCATCTCTTAAATAATGTATATGTAAGTTTTATTTTTAATTTATATACAAATCTTTAAATAAAATAACTTTAGAAAAACTTAAAAATCCATTTTGTTTTTCATAAAGTATAAAATATTTTAAGACGAAAGGAGTACATATTCGTAAATTCGAACTGGAAAATATAAAATTCGAACTTGATCAGATTTACCGTTTTTAGAATTTTACCCGCTCTAGTTAGGGGCTGTTTGGCAACTTCTGAATCGGTAAGTGCTGAACCAGTAAGAGGTCTGAACCATTAAGTGCTGAACCAGTAAGAGGTCTGAACCATTAAGAGCTAATATATTGCTTAACTATTCAGAGGCAAATGTCTGATCAATTCAGATAAGAGGTCTTAACCATTCAGACTCTGTATAATATTTAACCATTCAGAGGCAAATCTCTTAACCATTCAGACATCTGAACCATTAAGAGGCTGAAACAAACAGTCTGAACCATTAAGTGCTGAACCATTCAGACATCTGAACCATTAAGAGGCTGAAACAAACAGCCCCTTAGTCTAACTACTCGAGGTACATTATTATAGGAGTAAAAATATATGCAAGACTTTAAACTCCGTAATTACTACTCCATTCTTTATTTGACGTCGTTCCCTTATTTAACGTTTTATTGCCGTGGAAATTCTCAACATCAATTGACAATGATGCGGCGGGGGTTGAGGAGTTTGGAAAAATGTAAAGTTCATTCAAAGACATATAGGGGTACATACTATCAAGAAGTTGCGGAGAGTTTTCATGACATTAAAACTTCATGTCATGGAATGACTTGGAGTCACTACGGTGCCCTATTCGTAAAATTGATGGTTTCCAGTCTCTCTAATCCTACAAAACTCTAAATCAACATTAATTTGGAGGATGTAATTGAAGACGGTGGGAATGTGTTTAGGTCGGGACAGGAGAGGGAGGAGGGGTTGCGAGGTTAGGGGGTAGAAATCGTCAATTTTACAAAACGGGCCACCGTAGGCCGTAGCGGTTCGTGGTTATCCCATGGGCCATGATCGACATTAAACCAACTCAACAAATAAAAAGCTTAAGCTCGTAGTTGTTGGTATAAGAATGGCTTGTAAATTCTAACGTATTCCTTCATATGGAGGCGTGGTCACTTAAAGTCTTGTATGTGAAACCTTTCTTTTTAAACAGGGTGGCGCTGAGATTTAAATTTTTAACTTCTCGATCAGCAAGGCTTAAATACCATGTAAAGAAACAAACACAACTAGAAGCTCAAGTTTATAGTTCTTTGACATGAAATCAAAACTTTGTTGACCAAGAAGTCTATAGTTCAAAACTCACCATCACCTAATTAAAAAAATAAAATTTCACCTGTAATGCTCAAAGTGTTTACTCCTCGATCATGTGAGGTATGAAATGTTAGAATATAAAAGCATTTTTTGAGACAACAATATATATATTTATTATTACATGATTAAAAGTAATAGTTTAATATGACTTCGGTTTCCCTTGTAACTCCCCCTAAATTTTCTAACCTCGATTTTTTTAAAAAATAATTGGAAATAAAACTTTGACATGTTCATTACTCGTACTATTATATGATCTCTATGTCTAAAAAATCTTGTCTCCTTTATTTTCTAGCATCTCGATAACTTCTTTTATTATGTATTTTTCATTGATTACTTGATAAAATATACTCCGTAATATTTTTCTCGACCACATTGTTTATAAAACTTTTGAAGTAGTTTTTTATATAAGTTTTACTTTTAATTTGTTTACCAACTTGTACATATATATTTATATTTATTTAAAAAATTGAAAATGTAATTATCCTAATAGTAGTAAGCAAATACTTTGTATTTAATTTGTCTTATATGAAGGTTTACTTTGAACCATAGATCAATGGAAGAGTACGTTTGTCTACATTAAAATAGTGTACAAATGTATGTAAAGTGGTATAGGTAAAATGTTATAGTAAACATAATTAAGGTCTACACTATTTTAAATCCGATCTTCGTATGAAGGTCGTAAGCAAATATTTACCAATCTAATAATTAGTACTTCCTCCGTTTTCTAGAATTGTTTTTCTTTCGTTTTTTGGTTTGCATTGATATAATAAGTTGTTTGAATGAATTTTCTATCTCTTTTCTTTGGCGTTTAAGACAAATTAGAAAGTTAAATTACGAAATTAAATCTGACAAAAATCAAAATAGAAACTATTTTACCAAATGGAGGGAATACCTAATAAACATTTTTTTCAAAAGTTTCTTAGACATAAAGATTCATAAAAATATAATTTACCCCTGTGTAGACATAAAGATTCATAAAAAATACTCCCTCCGTTCTCAAAAAACACTTCATCTTTCCTTTTTTCCACTTCCAACAAAACACTTTCCCTTTCTATTAAAAAACCACTTTTACCGTTACTTTTTCATACCCTACCTATCACATCATACTTTTTCTCTAATAATCTATCCATCACATCTTACTTTTACCCATCACATCAGGGACAAAATTGGAAATCAACAATAATTTAACACTTCCTTATTTTTGCCCCCAAATCAAATGGAAAGGGTTTTTCCAAACGGAGAGAGTACATAATTTATGAACAATTTCATTTATTGTTTCAGGTATTTGCGTGTGACTTGTGGAACTGAAATTGTACTGGTAAGAAGTCAAAAATCATGATGTTTGATTTCGAGTGTCAAAAATTGTAATTGCCTCATCAATGATTTATTAGAGCCCGCATCAATTACTGCATTCAATTACTCTCATTTTCCGTTTTTAGTATCTTGGAGTCATGCCAATCATGTGAAACGACAAAAAAAAGAGATGAACCTCATCACTGAAAATCTTTTCAGATTTGGTCAGATGGTCACTGAGAGAAGGTAATTGAACATTGATCGTCATTGGTGGCAAAGATTGGTGTTCGACCGGCCGGTTTTTA